CGGAGTGGCAATGGATCTTCAACTTGCAGATTGCTTCACGTGTTACAACCCGATACGAATTTAAAACAAGCAACAAAGGTTAATAAAGCAGGATTTAATGAATTCATCAAATTTCGGTAGAACTCGTCAGCTGAATACTCTACATTGAATTAGTCATACAGAAAGACAGGTGCGAATGTTTTCTAGGTCATGTTCAAATAGATAAGTGGAGAGGGAGTATGAGAGATTGTCTGTGGAAGCAGATCAAAAGCTGAAGACATGTTGATAAAATTCAACTCATGTCACCCGAATCTCAATTTCACAATGGAACACAAGGAAAACGATACTGTTAAATTCCTAGACGTTTTTTAGCGAAAGTGAATGATGGCACAATCGAAAGATCTATATTTAGAAAGTCTTCATGGACAGGACAGTACATGCCTTTCATGAGCTTTGTTCCAATCCAGTATAAAGAGAACTTAGTCAGAACACTGTTCAATAGAGCACGGAAAATTTGTTCTGACAGTACAGTTGAGCACGAAATGAAAGCTCTGAAGGATATTCTATCTAAGAATGGATATCCTGAGAAGTTCATTAATAAATACTCTAAAGAAATTAGCCCCTGCAAAATAATTCAAACAGTTCCGAGGAAATCTGTCTGTATCAGTTTGCCATTCAAAGGAGATGATGTATAGGAAGTAGTCAAACGAAAATTCGATAAAGCTATCAAGATAACTCATTATGCTGCAAAACTTGTTTACTTAACACCACTAAGCGAGTGCTTCGATAATCTGGGAAAGACCAGTCGCCAATCCTCGACACTTCAAACTGCGTATATCAATTTGAGTGTGTTTGTGGAAGCAAATACATAGGTCGTATGGATGGGCGATTATCTACTCACATGATGGAGCATTTGTCAAAATGGTTGAAAACAGCTGAGTGTAAATGGCCAAAATCCGCAATAACAAAACATCTTGTGGACTACGGACATGATATCAACGCTGTCAAGTCATTCACTGTTGTCAGTGAGCAGACAAAGAAACAGGAAGATGCTTGCAATTGCGATTCAAGTTTATAAATCAGGTCTCTGTGTACAAAAGGAGATGGTCGTCACTCTGAATCCACCATGGTAATACGTTTTACTTACTATTCTACCTCTTATTATTATTCTTGATTCATTTAAAACTATCCTTTATCATTATTATTTTTATAACCATTGGTATTACTCTATTTGCAATTCTTGATATATTCTCTAATGACTAAGTGATGTAATTGAAGCGTAATGCATTTCATCTTAATTTCAATCTCTCATACTCCCTCTCCACTTATCTATTTGAACATGACCTAGAAAACATTCGCACCTGTCTTTCTGTATGACTAATTCAATGTAGAGTATTCAGCTGACGAGTTCTACCGAAATTTGATGAATTCATTAAATCCTGCTTTATTAACCTTTGCTGCTTGTTTTAAAACCTGAAAGAATCCAAACAGCGCCAAATAATAGTTGTTTATGAATGTTGGATTTAAAGACGATAGGATGGATTAAATTCTGAAGAACCGATTATCCATATTAGCCGACAAAGCTGAGTGAAGGATCGATTTCTATGGTCGGTAAATGGTCAATAAATGTGTGAATGACAAACTATCAATTGTTCACATGGAGGCAGTTATACTGATATAAGAATAGAACTTGTGCACTGTGGTAGACTGTAATTTCATTATGGCCACACAGAGCTCACGCTTTCTAGACATTGGCAGTTATTCGCTTAGTTCCCGAGCACCTAATGAACTCAGGCTATGCAACTTCACCAGAGTCTTCTTTTAAAACTAAGTACTAAGATGCTAGCGATTTATCAATATAACCCCGAACTCTAGGCGCAGAAAAAATTTACTTAGTCTCTCGTCATACCATGGTCTTAAACACCTCCGTACTTATTTGTAGTAATTCACTGCAATCACTCTTACATTTCTTCACATTTATCAAGTGGACACTGAAGCACCTAGCATCTCATCCGATGTCAATTTTCACCTTATCAAATCTGTAGTTATACTGTGTCGCCGATCGTTACGTAATTCCCTTTTGTCTATAGCAACCACTTCTAAGTAGTTGTATCAATTATATATCCCCACTCCTAATACTCAATAAGAGACTGCTACACACTTTTAGTAAATGTAAATGCTTCTTTCTGTACAGGCTTTGTTAATAAGAACTCTCTTTGCTGAATTGTCTTTTATCTTCCAGACACTTGCTTCAAAACCAAATATCAACAAAACATTTTTGAAAGGACTGTTGCTAAGAAATCAACAGACATAACGAGATTCAGAATGTTTGTGTTCCAGAGAGCGCCGAATTATGGATAATTAGCTAACAAGCTTTCATTCATTTCTGAAAAATGTTTTGTTCTTAAGGGTTTCCGAGTAGTCCTTGGCCTTAGTATTCTGGAACGCTAGGCGTATGTATGGTGAATTAATCTGGTCACCACAAAAATGTTTTGATTCAGAAAATGAAATAATCAACTACTGAAGTAAAGCAGTATGGCTGCTTTGTTTCGTGTCAACCATTAGGAACTCGTGTTTAATGGCAGAAGTTCGTCTTTTGTGCCTCCTAATAGGCTTATATAACAGACTGGCATTTTTATTACTCACCTCGTCAGTAAAATCGGTTTGTGCATAGGCTGAAGTACAAGAAGGCTCTCCTCGTTTAAGTTTTGATGTGAGAAGTATCGTATTGAGACAAAGCCTTCACTTATATTTTAAATTTACGACTGAGGGAATACTTTTTGGAAAAGAGCTGTGGAAGACAATTATGATGTCAGTTCCTTCGGATGAGACAAAGTAGATGCCTTTCGAATTAACTCAGTTATCCTACCTCAGCATTGAATTAATAAATTATTATGACTAAATCTAAGTATTTTGGCCTTTACAACAAAATTAACGGCTCTACGTAAATAGTATCCTATCCTTCATCCAGTAATCGAATTTGTATACATTAACTTTGTTTTGACTGACCAACGCAAAAAAGGCCATCAGCTTTCCATTCAGCTGGACTGTAAACTTTTTGTAACCTTTACACCATTATTTTCGTCTTCCGTCAAGCATAGAATTTATCATAATGGACACATACGAATAAGAAAATGAATATCCTAGAACAATACTTCTCCATATGTTGGACGACACGGCAGAATTTTTGTCAAATCTGGATCAGACCTTGGACATCGAGAGCTCTTTTGAAGCTTTCGGACACTAGCAGTGGTGTCCAGATGGCTCAAGTAAATGATTGCAGAGAATGATGCTATTGCAGAAACTGCATTTGGCCGCAATATTACCGAGGAAAAAGCCACACTGGAAGCGTGTAAAAGTTTCATGCTTTCCATATGTTCACACAGAAGACGTCAGCATCCTCAATTAGACTAATCATATATGGTTCCACCAAGTGTTATATACGAGATTCCATTTACATTTAGACAAACTAACATCTGACAAGAGATTTTGCAACAAGGCAGAGTGTATAGCTATCGGCTATCTAACTTCCCCACTTACCGAATTGGCATAGTTAGTTGGCTGTAAAACAGTAACCAACACTTGAAGCTACACTGATGCTAATAGGTGAAAAATGAGATCCCGACAATTACCGTATGGTGAGAAATGACAGTCACTCTGCAGAAAGATCATGTGAAAGTACATTACCATCTGTACGGAATAACGAAAATAGAGTACAGCTAATGAAAGATAAACCAAAGAGATTTGTTCGCTAGGCCCAGTTGACCTACTCGCTTTTCATATATCGTTCAACAAAAAGCAAAATCTAAAAGGACCTAAAGCTTTTGAAAATTAAGACGAACAGAGTTAGCTAAGCAGTAGTAACCTTTTATCATAAATTTGGATTTAAGTCCTGAACAAATGTGAACTAATGCGTCGGTGGCACAGCGGTATAATGCTCACCAACCACGCATGTGGTTAGGGGTTCGATCCACGACCGACACACTCCTTTACCTCGTTAGGCCAGTAACAAGGCTGGTAAAGAGGGAAGGTTGGGCATGAGGCTAGCAACCCCATCTCGTAAAAATAAATACCACTGCTACTGAAACTTCCAAGCTCTAACTTGAAGCCGTATATTCCACCGGGAACGTAAAGGAATAAAATAATAATAACAATAAATACAAATGTGAACTGGCATATTTATGAACCAATGAGCATAAATATTTCTGATATAGCAACATGGAGACCAGAATGTATTCAGATATGTTGCAAACCTGAACAGACGTTAAAAACGTAATTAAAATGCTACAAGTCACCTATATCGTATTAACTATTCTCAACAATATATTACAGATTAGATCAACAATTTCTATTTATTTTGACTACAATTCCGTAATGTTCAAATCACAGAACTGGATGGCAGTCATGTACAGAATAAGTGGTGTGATAGACAACTGTAATCCTCATGAAAGTCTTTAGGATTCTTCATCAAAAATCGTGATGACTAAATAAACACTAGAAGTAACGGAAAGCAGCTCAAGACATTCGGCATATCACTAAACTATTTAAAGACAGAAGAAAAAAATAAAGTAGCATCCGAACAGATTGGCTAACAAGCGGACACTTTCACATATATGTAAGAAGTTTAGGTTACTTTGGATTCTTGTAGGGAGTAGTCAATGGTTGCTGGCATCATACTAATCCTACATTTTACTGTAACGATAAATAAGTCCAGCAAAGTAAATGCCAGGACTGTTCCGTTATCAGTATTCAAATCCCTGCCTAGAGATTGGAAGTAGTCCTAGAGAACACAAAAATACGTTAACTATGTACAGACATAGATATCAAGAAACCTGTCGCACAAAATGCTTTAAAATCATAGATACTAGAAGAGATTAGAGTAGAGAAAATATAAAACATAAAAGGCCAGATAGTGGTTTTGATTCCTGATTGTATATAATGACATGTGAAGTCAGTGATTTCTCGAATACCATCTGTAAACAGCGTTCATGCACTGAATAGGTATGTAATACAACTTCTGTCTTGTTTGTAAGAAAACGAAATGTTATTGTATACAAATGAATATATTTAGACAAATGGAAGAAATCTTAAATGTCAATTATGACAAATAACTCATGCATATCTTCTTTTTCATGAATTTGCATATTAGAATATGTGATAGCCTTGACTTCAGTACCCTACAAAAACAAAAAAAAAACCGTACATTATTATCCTGAGAAATGGACATTATTGGTGACATGCTGTCTGTCTACCTAAACTTAATTTAATAAAATGTGGAACTTCTCATATGAAACCATTACAAATATTCCGGATTTTAGCTATTAACCATGGAAGGAAACGTATTACTGTTCAATGAAAAATGCTTTTAATCAACCAGCTCTTTAGTGATTTACCATCGGAAGATAGCAATGTAATAGTAGAATTAATAATTCCATGTAATTTCTCGTCACACAAACCCTCAATAGGGGTTAGGTCGCGGTTTGGAGTAAATTAGTTTAAAAACGTCATTTTAGCTAGTACTCCAGGAAAGCTATTTGTTACTCTGATCAACCATTTCACGAGTAATATGAAAGCAATTGAAAAACAAATACACTAAGAAATGAAAGAAAATGAGTCATTTCTGTAGCAGTTTTGAAGTATAATTAATCATGCACTCTGAATAAATATCAGACACTCAAAGGAATCGGTTTTATATTCAAACTCTGTTGCAAATTATTCACCCTGGAGAATTATATAGCATTATGAACCCCTTAGGAAAGGTGTAGTTTACAGTCAGTGAAAATCACACATGCATTATTATTCTGAAAGTGGAGATGTGGCTGATTGACCTCAGAGCTCAATATTCAGCCAAATAGCCAAAGGTTCAAATCCCGACCCACTACATTCAACCTACTCAAATGAGCAGTATTACCAGTCCTCACACAATAACCATGTGGTTAGAAGCCTGGTAAATAAGCAATTTATACCAGAAAACTGAGTTCTAATTATTATTTTAAACACTTAGAAAGTTTGACTAAAAGAAATATATGAAACAGCAAGAAATGTTGGTGATCAGTGTCGGCATAGTTTAAAGTTTGTTCATTCCGTAAATTCAACTGACCTGCGGGTGCTTCGAGATGTCAAACGGCTCTCCCCAACTATGCAACAGAAAAATAATACATTATTCTCTTGTCACTAAATGAAGTACAACTTACCCAACAGATTTGATATAAAACTTTTCTTTGTTGAATTCAGTTATTTTAACAACCTATTAAAAGAGTTAGAAAGTAGTTAGATATTGATATAATGGAGAATATTTGTAGCGCAGGTGGGCGATTTTGATTAGCTGGTTGGTTTAGTTGCGAAGCTTTCGTTGTCCTCCTAGACAACATCTACAGTGAAGGTTTAAGTATGAAACGAACTTATTTGAATTCTCTATGAATGATATAATTTCTATCTACTGACAACCATTGCTAAGCAATTCATTTTGTAAATGGTGTTATTCTTATCTTTTTTTCTGTTTGATCTTTTGGTTTGCACAATATCAAATGAAGTGATTTGTGTCGGCTTGTGTACTATGTTTATTTCAAACCGTATTAATATTCTAGCGGTTATTTCAAAAGTACTCTTGATATGTGGTATAGTGGATTTTCTTGTGGTCTTTAGCGATGGTTTCCTTGATGGTATTACAACTTGAGTTTAAACAGTTTCTCATAAAATTCTGTGTGTATTCATTCTTTTTGAAGACAGTTAGAAGGCATTTCTTTTCCATTCTCTACAGCACCGGAGTGCTTCAGTGTTTGGACCCTTTTCAAAGCAAGACTTCAAGTGAACAAAGGGAAAACGGAGGTGATGAAGACAACCAACCGAGAACAGTAACAAGCACCGATCATCACCAAAGGAAGAAATTCAAAGTAGCTCACTTCTTTCACTTATCTAGGCAGTATCGTTTCAGCTACAAGTGGTACAGATGAGGATAACAAAGCCAAGCAGGATCGCAAAGGGAAGACAGACCTTCAATATTTTTAAATCAGTAAGAAATCTGCTACACTCTGTGCAAAGAACAAGATTCGGATCCTCAGCAACTATGCCAAGTCAGTTTGTCTGTTTAGTTCAGAGACGGCGTGTCACCAAAAGACATCAAGCTTCTATCTACAGCTGCCTTCGCCAGCTCCGTATGGAGGGTCAGATGGCCGGTCAGAAAGGATTAAGAGCAAGGAACTCTGACAACGCACCAACCGAAAACCTATTGTCCAAGGAATATGCCGAAGAAAACGGAGGTAGATCGGCTCTTGAGTGAAACCCTAATGGGAAACAAGTTAGGCGTCAGAGAGTGAGATATGAGATATCATGTGGGGAGGAGATGGGAGTTTGTAGGTAATTGTGAAGCAGAGGATGTGATGTGCTGTTAGAGCTCTGTGCTCCACTCGGAACTCTAGGTAATAATAACAATTTAGTAGTTGAGTTGTTTAGGTAATAGGATTTTGTTTTTCAAAAGTTTAACTTCGTCGTATACGTTTTTAAAGTGACCCTAATTAAGGGGATTTGTTCGTGTTGAGAGGGCCTTGATAGTGTACAATGACATTTAAGTATTTTTTAGAAGAAGACAAAACACGTAGTTCAGTGAAGAATTTCTTCCAGGCGATTTCATTCACTTAGCTTACACATGTTGGTACATCACTACTCCTTGGATGCGGTCCAAGAAGTTATGCAACTCAGTAGCTCCAACGTTACCAGATATGGTTCATAATCTAAATCAAGGATGCGAATTCCGCACCTTTTCTTTCTGAAAGCGAAAAGAGGTACCAAACACCCCTTCTAATGTTCTTGATATATATGTTGAGATGTTCTGTTGTTCCATAAATATGCTACTTTTTATTTTTTATGATGTTGTTTTACTATCTTTCTTGGTCCATTATTTGATGCCTGTTGATACAATAGTAACAATTTTTTATTTCAAATAATAAAGTATCTATTCAATAAAACACGTATATCTCCTAATTTCAAAGATAATATTAAACCGCATTAATTTTTAAATGATACCAGAATTAATTGTTGTAGTCTTACGCGTGGAATGAAAAACCGGTCTGCTGAAAAAGCAAACAGCCATTCATCCAAGAAATGAAAAAGTAATGACATCATATCATCACCTATAAAATAAAAAATAACAGCATTAGCATAACACCTTTTGAAGGTATGAGTGACAATTAAATCTAATCATTTAGAAAGCACTTAATAACTATTCAACGTATTTGAGGACACCTTCTTAGATGTTTATTCAAGAGAAGCACAGGAAACCTAGAAAAACAAGTACATAGAAGGTTAATTCCACACGTACCAAATGCTCAGTTACAACAGCAATAATCCAACATACAAGTGAAACTGTGTACAGGCATTGTTTAGGACCCACTGTAACACTTCAGATCCAAGGACAAAAGCAGAGAAATATTTCTCGACTGCATTAAAAAAAGGAAACACCATCGCAATTTTTCCAGGTGTTTGGGCTCAAACCAAACAACCAGAAAAAGACCATCCTCGGAAAATACAACAAAGATTCATTATCCCATAGATGAGTTACATTTTTAAAATAACTGCTACAATATTACAAATACACAGATGAACGGTATCACTTCAACTAATAATATTCAAACCACAAGACCAAACAACAGAGGACAACATCAACATCTGTGCGTCGGTGGCACAGCGGTTAGGACTCTCGCCGACCACGCACATGGTCCGAGGTTCGATCCCCTACCGACGCACATCCGATATCAACGGTAGGCTTGCAAAATTTGGGCTACCGATATCACATGCTGAAAATTCCATACTTGTACCAAAAATACAGTGTGGAATCAAGCTATGATCAAAAAAAATATAAGATAAATTACACCTACACGGTGTCGACTGAAGTGGACACCTCTTCAAAGAAAATAAACCGGCTGTCAAAACACATGACGCGTATCCCTTTACATCTGTACATATAGACAATTACGGACTGATTGGCTGGGAAAATATGAAAAGTACAAACGACGAATATACTAAACTGCCTATAGAATTTCTAGAAGCCTGGCACTCCTTTGAAAAGTAATTGTTTTTGGCAAATTTTGAATGCTTCCACTTTCAGAATGTCCTGATACAACAGATCTCACAACTATATTGTCTAGTGATTACTGGAACTTCAAATTTCTAGTGACTCAGAATCTACTCATTAATTGAAAAAGTCATTTTCAAAAATATCCTCACAGAAACGAAAATGCGTTTTGATCAATTCTACATTTTTTCGGATCCTAAGTGACATTATTTGAGGGGCAAACAAACATGATAATTCTTCGAGTTGTCGAAAAGTCATCTGTTACATTTATTGAAATCTTATAATACTGATTAGACTAAATTTTTCATTGGTCTTCCTGCCTAAACAGAACAAATTACATCAGCCGTACGCTTTTGTTGTATATACCAAATGTCTGTTGTCAGGCAAAAGGATTAAGATCAGTCAGTAAATACAATAAACAGCGAAGTTTAGCTAAATGTCGCGACAAGAGTGCGTTTAGAACCTTTCGAAATGGATCAAAATGACAATTCACTTCCTAAAGTAGGTTCGAAGAGTTAACTTACCACAAACGTGAACCTTATGGATGTTGAACAATTGGACTTCTTTTCCTTTACCTAAACACCACGTTTTACATTACCTAGCATTCTACCAATCAGGTTTTTGTTGTAATAACATTTAAATGAAACACCATTCAACTTACCGTATACTGAGATGGCTTTGATGAACACATTTTTAAATATTATCCATACCACCTAGCCACCTTGTTTTTATTTTTTATTGTACTCTATGTTCCGAGTGGAACATAGGGCTCCAAGTTGTGAGCTTTGAATTTCACTAGCAGTTTTACTATTTTTACGGGGTGGGGGTTGATAGCCTCACGCCCAACCTTTCATCCCTACCGGGTTTACCACTGACTACGCGATGTTTAGGAGTTGGCAAGGAATAGAGCCCCGGACCACTTTCGCGGTCAGCGAGCATTCTGCCACTGAACCACTGGAGCACTAAACACCTTGACTGCGAAGAAAATTAGAAACTTCAGTCAGCCTACAGCAAACTCTTTTGAAGGGAATTGTGTGTTTCAAAACATAAAACGACGAAAAAGATGAATTATGAAACTGACCATTTGCTTCAACTTCCATTTTTTCCAGCATTTTTACCGAGTCATAGTTTGTTGTCATGTAATTAAACATTGCCATGGCAACCTATTCTTATTAGGTAATATTTAAATGTACACAAAAAAAACTAACTTGTTCGAATGCTTCTACTTGGTCATCGCCCCAAGAGTGCAACCTATAACAAAAAAGTAAGAGATGATGGTAGATATACGTACGGTACCATTTTACAACATAAATGAATTCACTATGTAAGAGACGAAAGTAGACAACTACCGATCAGTGGTATTGTGATTGCTAATGTGATAGGTAGACTGATCATTAGAAACGATAACTATAAGCAGCAAAATCTAAACTGCTTATCGAAGATTTAGAATGTCACTTAGCCCAGTGAATAAGTAAAGCGATTTTAATGCCAGAAAAGACACTTGACTTGCATCTAAGCCACCTACCGCACTTAACCAAACGTTTAGTAGATACCTTAATCTGCAATGGTTAGTGATTTGTTTTACTTGAGAAACAACTTTTCTACACGAAGTATGGAGAACGTAGAATAAAGTGAATCAACTGGTCATAAGTTGTAAGCCGTAAGGCAGTGAAAAAGCATCTGTTGAAACGTCGCATGCTGTAGTCCTAACTGGATAGCAGATGACTCACGAACATGACAGTTATTTCGAAATCCAAATATAACTAGTACGCAAATAGAAATTCAAAGCCTAATCAATTGAGTAAGAAAACCGAGAAACAAGATCATCCGATGGCACATTTAAGCAGAAGTCAGTTTGACATAGTATATTGAGAAATTTAGCTGATATACTCATGTTAGACCTGAACTTTGTTGTGAGTGTTATGTTCATCTAAAAGTGGCCAGGTTAATCATTGCTGCTATGGTGGTCTGAGTCAACAGAAATATGTCAAGGAGCCCAGCATCGTAGTTATGAACTATGCAGATTCAGAAAACTGTTGCGTAAATACACAGTCCATATGAGGTCATTTTAGGTGACCGTATACTTGAGTGACTCAATACCAAACAAAAAGAATCGTGTGGTAGCCTAATTTGCGAAACGGTAGATGTGCTGTTTACACCTGCACTCCGGAAGATAAAAAGCTTCAAAACATGTACATCTCACAGATAATGTTACACATTGATTAAAAGCAGGGAGATATAAGTCCCTCCATATGAAGACATTCGAAGGCGCTACTTTGCATCAGTCGAATGTCAGATGACGCTACAGGAATTATATCTGTCGAATCATAGTTTACCTACAGTAACTGAAAGGCTGAATGTCACAAGTCGTGTAACGAGTGTATATTATTAGTCAAGGGAGGATATGTCAGTGAGGTTACGGGCCTCAGTGGCTTAAGGTTAAAACTAGTCTGAAGATATGACAACGATTTTAAATCAAGTGACTAGTACTAGATGCACAACGGTTACTAACTTTCGAGGACACGAAACAAAAGGTGTCCCTTGTGACTGTTATTAAAATTCGTATTTTTTTATACCAGTGATTGTAAAAAACTCCTACTTATATTGAATGAAACATTTAGTGCACGTGACAATACATGAAAGTTACTATCAACATTCAAAATTCATATTTTGTGTGTAAACTAGTCTGAACTTACTGTACATCCGCAGTGTGATCGAGGTCTACAAGCAAGGTAAAGTGAGATTAGTATATACACAATTACATTCGTATTTAACAACTGGTATGGGCGGAATTTCATAATCACTCGACCTTGACATGCCGAAGTTGAGGTTTCAGATGGGTTAAATACGCCGCCTGTTGAACAACTTTAAGGGTTTTCAGCGAAAGTGGCTGGACTTATCCGGCATGTTGGTTGAAATTGCGATTGAAAAATTTTGTCAACAAAACAAAATAAAATTTTGTTATATATTATCTGGATTGATGGGAATTCTCAAATCCGGGCTAGTTATGTTGGTGTCCGCGTCAAGTGATCTTACTGCGGCACACTCTTAGCATATTGGTTGCAATGATCAGTGTTTCAGGTGGACTGTGTCATAATAGCGCTGAAATGAACAAAATGGGATAATTGGAAGGTAATGTCATATACACAAATAGACGACTTTATTGAGAAGATGCACACTTCGACATAGAAAAGCTCAATGAAGATTCCATGTCTCAGTCCTTTTTGATAAAAGCATCGTATCAGTACTTGGAAATCACCTGTAAATGCTAACGGAACCTTCTGTGGGAGTAGAAGTAATCGTTTACATGTGTCTCACCGCATGTGTGTTTGGACAGGAATTATCGTAAGTTGAGAGGTTATTTCTAAATGTATTTCATGTATATTTGCACTGTTTGGTGTAGCATAATATTAGTTATGTGGTCTCAATGTATAAAAATATCTCAACTTTATTAATATTGCGCCATTGTCCGCTTAGCTGACTGCTAGGCTAACAAATGTAGGTGGTTCTCATGATTATTGCAAGTGCAGTTCTGTGGAGAAGGCAGTTACTCGTTTAATTTTCCTCACTGTTCCGCTTAGTGCAATAATTCAGTGTGTAGTATTATTATACACATGGGTTGTGTTCATTATGAGAACTGAATCTAGTTAGCTCTATTATTATCAGTCTATTCTCTGTTGTACCATTTCCACTGACAGTGTATACTTAATGCTACAATATTTTTGATCACCAATAGCGGAGATGAATTTCTGCTGAAATTTCCATTTACATAAAGCAGTACAGATGCGGTATCACGATTGAATGTCTAGGTTGCATTATATGACATTGTTCCGTTTGTCTGTCTGTTTCGACATAGAACTTTGCACCTATGTGTGACACTTCAATTCGCCGCATTCCGCGTAGCACACAAAGCCAGAGAAGAAAGTAGGAGAAATACATAATAGAGACAGCAGACACGGATATGAGACAAAAAGATTGTCATCCTCATCAGCACACAAGATCTGTATATCTCACAATATTTTAAGTGTTTCTCTATGCTGTTAACACTGTGCATAGCTGTTTAGAGTTGAGGCATGTTCAGCTTATATCTGATGGTTATAGTTTCCTAAATATGGGAATGTAATTTCTGCAGGATTCACAAAACTGTGTTCACTAGACATTACTGAGATTGTTGACTCGTTTCTAAGTTACACATTTGCAATGCTTCCTTTAATGTAAACGTATTTAGTGCAAAGTTGATCTGCAAGTAATCTTGATGAGAGAATGACGCCTCAACAGTATGGATTTTTCAGAGACTGTCTTGAAATTTGCGTGTAATCCTCTAATACTGGAAAACACATGAGGTCTATTTATGCATACGGCGTCAATATAAAGACTAGCTGTGGACTACAAATACTTTTTATTTGCATGACAATTTTGCTTAGTATTAATGGAATCAGTGTATTCGTCCTGCATGGTTATATTTAAAATTAGATTTTATAACTTCATGTTGTGCTTCATATTTTAGGTATATGGAGGTTGTCGAATATGAAATCAGCAAAAATGTCGATTGGTCAAACTAACGCTAATACCCTTCGTCAAAATTTTCATTTGTAAATTAATGAAACGTCTAATATACTCTTAATTTCTACTTCTCTCGGACTTCTTCCTTACGTCGCTATACTATGTGCTTTTGTAATATGTGAATTCAGATTAGTGCCTGTTAAGCTCAGTCAGTGGAATGGAGATTCATTATAGTATTATGAGACTGTTACTTTAGTCATTTACAGGATTTCGTGTCTGTTTCTATGCAATAGCACATTGTAAAAACTAAGTAGGATTTAGCAAGTTGAATAATAATTCTGTACTGTTCGATACGCTAAAGTCTCTCATCTAGCCAGTCGCAAGTCTGTATACTGCTAAACGCCAAGTATTTAGTACAAACAAGTGTAGTTAATTAGGGTTGGCAGCTACTTCATTAATCTGTTAATATGCAGTGATATCATCAGATAGAATGTTTGCTTGGTGATGAGCAATCGGAATCCATCTGAAGAAGCCAAGCCTATGTGTTCAGAAGAAATTTGTACAGCCACTCTCCTTAGCATGGCCATCGTTACAAGAATTCATAAATAGGACTACGTCGCCCCCTCCCCCTAAACCTATTAAATTATAAGTGTCCAAATTATTTTATTTTTATTTTGACCACTTCATCTTTAATACGTGTTATCCTTGTAAAATTAATTTATTCTATCCATTTCTACCCTTTAAAGTTGTATTGATTTTCTTCGTTATTTATCAACCCATTGACATTTTGACACTGTTTAATTATTGTTAACAGACATCACCACTTGCTTGGTAAACTGTTGTGTATTGTAATAAAAATGCTATACATATATAAGAGTAGAGCCAGAGATGAGGATCTAATTGAAAAGTAAATATTTCTTCGCTCAATCTTACTGCTTTCCAAATGTCTAAATGGGGATATTTTCTATAAGAAACTATGTCTATCTATATCGAATATGCCGCTGAATCATGCGATATCATCTAACATTCATCATTAACATGATAAACTAGAGCATATCTAGTTTTCTAGGTGTGCGGAAGACTAAAATCATTAAATGCCTGTTATCTCCCAGCTACAATGTACTAAGATGAACAGCTTTCTATCAGGAAATAGCAAATGGTTTTCGTCTAACGGTTTTATACTAAATCCTTCCAAATATCAGACTGCTAATTTCATTTCCCGATGTAAGCGAAATTTAAATTTAGCCGTTGGTTCCTATTACCCTTGCAAAATTGATGATACTGATATAGAAACCAAGTTAAGTATCTTGGATTAATTCTTTCTTCTGACCTATCCTGGTCTTCCCATGTCTTAGCGATTTCTGAGAGAATATTTCGTCTGACATTTTACATAAGGAAGTTAAGGTACTCAGACATAACCCAACCACTCCTCTTACAGTTCGTCAACTCGTGTATTTTACCTATTCTTGTTTACTGTTCTCCCTTTTCCTTTCCTGGATTGCTTAGAGAAGACTATGTCATACTTCGTAGAACTCTGAAGACTGTCAGTATGGCCAGTGGTATCCCAGTGAGCCATGTCGTTGACATTATCAGTGGTAGGCACTTGATTTCATGCAACAAATTTCCTAAAGCAATTTTGTCAGGCTGTGAGCACTCACCCTACTTGCGACTCCTACTCTGAATCTCCTCAAGTAAAACAAGTCTTTTCAGAAAATTTTATGCACGTACGTCGAACTATAAAAATTTCGCTTCACGATATCTGGCACATGATGAAATTAGTGTTAGGCATGAACTAACTAACCTTCTTTGCACCAGTAAATAAACCATTTCCTCCACCCTTCAAAATCAAACTTTATTGTTATTGTAGATCTTATATTTATAGTCCTCTCGAGTTTTGTTTTTGTTTATTTTTTCATGTGTGAACATCACTTAAGCTGTGTTACAACTGTTAATTTTTTATTTCACCTCACTATTCTATATCAACAGAACATTAGATTCAATAATCTATAACGTGCTAAAATTTCCCAAATGAGTCGACAATACTGTTTGAAACAAACTCACTGTTATTATTATCATATTCAATATTCTCAATTCGTGCTTCGAGTATTTTCGACTTCATATCGTAAACTTGGACAAATTCCTCTTGCTAATTTTTAATTTTATTTATATTTTAAGTAAATCAGATGCAATATTGTGGCAAATGCTGAGAATTCCATTCTGTATTATAAGTAGATGATTACTAGACTTTAGTGACGCCACTTTTTCCTGCTTGACCTGTTCTTCTTGCTTTGGCCATGATAGTAGCGTGTTTCCCAGGGCTCATCACGCAACGTATCAGCCACGAATTCATACCGCATGATGGCATAATGCATATAGGTTAGGTATGCAAATCAAAGTAAAAGGCTTGTACGGTAAATTCACTATTTATAAGACTCAAAGGTACGTAAGAACTAACATTTGACCAGTTCTATAAAGTTAGATATATTTAAACCCAATCAACGTACGCTGCTTACTTCCATGGCTCATTACCTAAAGCTACGTAACTACCTTTAAATAGTTTCTGCTGAAGGTAATCTCCTTCAGGTACTACCTTAGTGAGCAACTCAAAGATACCTTTGAATTACAAAGTACAAGTGGACATCCGGAGAACTTTCGTGGTAAAAATATCATCTCCTGATTGAAAAAGGTAAATATGAAAGCGCTTACGCGCATTTATCCTATCACCTCAAATGACTCACTTTTTGCAGTCACGTAAAAAGAAAAATAAATTTAACGAAGACATTGCTCGTAAACATTATGTCTGCGTGTGGTATGCATTTAAGGCTGCTACGCTGTGTGATGAATACGTTAGAGATACCTAAAGTCAGACTTGATATCTATATCAGTATCATCAATTTTCCAGTGGTCAAAGAAATTAACAGCTTAATTTAACTTTCTTTTACATCTGAAACTGAAATTAACAGTCTGATATTTGGAAGGATTTAGTATAAAACCGTTAGACGAAAACCATTTGCTATTTCCTGATAGAAAGCTGTTCATCTTAGTACATTGTAGCTGGGAGATAACAGGTATTGAATGAGTCTAGTCATCCGCACACTTAGCAAAGTAAATATGCAGTTGTTGTTCATGTAAATGATGAATGTTAGATGATATCGCATGATTCAGCGGCATATTCGATATAGATAGAAATAGTTTCTTATCTCACCGCCAAGTAAACATTCTATCTGATGATATAAGATTAGTTAAGTAGCTGCCAACCCTAATTAACTACACTTGTTTGTACTAAATACTTGGCGTTTAGCAGTATACAGACTTGCGACTGGCTAGATGAGAGACTTTAGCGTATCGAACAGTACAGAATTATTATTCAACTTGCTAAATCCTACTTAGTTTTTACAATGTGCTATTGCATAGAAACAGACACGAAATCCTGTAAATGACTAAAGTAACAGTCTCATAATACTATAATGAATCTCCATTCCACTGACTGAGCTTAACAGGCACTAATCTGAATTCA